AAAAGAATAAAAATTGAACAATTATTAGGTGTGAGATTTCTATGAAAAGTATCACTCACTATAAAAAGGTTAATATGTGGACAACCGATGGTGTGCTGGTTAAGACAGCTGGCTGCCACATGGCTGATAGTGTGATTCTAGTCCCAGATCTGGGTGCTTGAGAAACTTTACAGGTACATGTGTATGTATGGCCAAAGTCTTGAATTAGAAAAGATGGTAATGTTACCATCCTCCAAGGAATGTGCTCTCTCATTTTCCCTCTTTTCCTCTGTCTGTCTCCAGTGAACACACATGCTCTCTGGCAAACTTTTAAAAATGGTTAATATGTCAAATTTTATATTATCTAAATTTTATCCTATCATTAACAGTAAATGTAAAAACAAACAACAAGCTTTAAGTAATTCTTGTCAATAATGGGGACTGGCTTATCAGCTGTAAGTATAACAAAATACAATAATTAGCCAAAGAGAAAATTGAAATGAGAAACAAAGTCAAGAGAGTTCTATTGGTGCTTTGGGTTATCCTGGGAGAGCTAAGAAAACACAGTTAGGTTTCAACCTTGCCTGTGGTACACTTCTCTGTCATAGGTATTTACCACAGCCTGGTAGAAGAATCAATTGGACATATTGGTATGTGCTAAAAGAATGACAAACAGGGGAAAAAAGGTATATAAGGTATATACGTGTGTGTGTGTGTGTGTAGAGAGAGAGAGAGAGAGGCATTGTTATCAGACAGAAGAGCTGAGCTGTGTTGTATGAAATACTCAGTTCTTTGGATCTAGGCCTCTAAGATAAGAAACTTGCCATGAGATGCAGAATGAAAAACAAATAAGAGTAAAGCAGGAAAAGAGTTTTTTAACAGGGAATTGAGGATTTATTTTTAGAGAGATTTTTGCTATATGGCATATGCACCTGCCAGAGAGATCAAGAGACAGAAAGGAAGAAATCACCCTCCAGGGGGATGACCAAACCACAGTCCTTTTTCCTCCACTCTCCTCGCAGGATTTTGGATACACATGCACTCACGGTCAGTGTGAGTTTCAAGCCGCCAGGCCTGGGACTCGAACTATGGCCAGCCATGTGGAAGTCTAGTGACATAACTAGTATGCCATCTACTAGTGTCAGGGAATTGAGGATTTTTAACAGAAAAAAAAATACACCATGCCAGAAAGGCATGTGGGTGGGCAACTGCCTAAGGAAAAACTGCTGGGAATGGGGTTAGGTATTATTTTTATCTTGGGGTCTTATCACGAATATTTAGGAGGGGAGGTCTGTCATTGTAGCTGTTTCCTTAGAATTTGCATGCTTTTATCTGTACTTGCATACTTTTCCTCAGGTATGAAATCTAATTGCTTTTTTTTTTGGAGAGGTTTTTGCTATAGGGCACGTGCGCTCACCAGACAGACAGAGAGAGACAGAGAGATAGAAAGCGAGAAATCATCCCACGGGGGAATGGCCATGCTGCAATCCCTTCTTCTCCATTTTCCTCTCGGGATCTTGGGCATGCACGCACATGCGCCCAGGGTGAGTTTGAAGCCACGGGGTCCGGAATATGAACTGCGGTCGACTACATGGGAGTCCAACGACATAGCCATTACGCTAACTGCTGCTCCCGAAATCTAATTGCTTTATCATACATGCCCAGAGTGGAATTTGAAGGTATGAGCATTCACATAAGGATGATTTGGCCCATATCATTTTACTGCCCCAGTAAATACTTACAAATGCAGGGAGAAAGATAACAACCTTTCATAAGCTCTTTAAAGAAAGCTTGGGTGATGCATTTAAAATAAGACCAGTTTATCCTTCCCAGCCTCAGAAACCAGGAGGGAGGAAAGAGTCCTTGGAGAAAGTCTGGTCATATACTCTGATAAACTGTGATTAATGAGGCAGATGTCCTTTTGCCCTTCTTTCAGGGCTGCCCATTCATATCTGGGTGTCTACCTATGACAGAATGATGTTCACAGAGATATAAATGCATGTTAAGGGCCCAGCAAGTGGTGTGGTGGTTAAGACACTGAATTCCACATGGCCTCCTAAACAGTTTAAGTCACAGATCTGGCAGCTTGTAAAACATGCCAGGAGTATGTGAGGATGTGCCCAAAATCCTAAGAGGAGAATGGAGGAAAAGAAATTGAGACATGACCATTCCCATGGGAGGTGATTTTTCACTTTCCCTATCTCTGTCTCTATGGTAAGCACAAACACCCTTTGGGAAAAAACCTAAAAAAATTTAAAAAGAGAAAAAAAAAGAAAAGAAAAGAAAGGAAAGGAAAGGAAAAGAAAAGAGAAGAAAAGAAAAAAAGAAAAGAAAAGAAAAGAAAAGAAAAGAAAAAAATGCATGTTAAAATACTTCTTTAGGGCTAGCAGCGAGTGATGTGGTAGTAAAGCTGGCTGGATTCCAATATGGCCAAATGTACTACTTCAGTTCTAGACCCAGTGACTTGGAAAACATGTCAGGCACATGTATGTGCATGCCCCAAATCCCAAGAAGAATGGAGGAGAAGGGACTGTGGCATGGCTATCCTCCCTCAAGGGATGCTTCCTCACTTTTCTTCTCTCCCTTTGTCTCTCTTCAGTGAGCACACATATATAGCAAAATTTTAAAAAATTATTTAACTA